TATTCTTCTAAGCCCAAATTGCTTCTTACATTGATGTCCAAACTAAAAATTATTTTTTTCATAAAAGAAACTTACATGCTAATTATTATCTTTTATCTTCTTAACCAACTATTTCTTAAGGACTAACATAATATTTCTACTCATCTACACCAATCATGGCACTAATCAAACTACACTCATTAACAACATAAAAACCACGACTAAATATAAAAACTACAAAAAACGGTAATACTTCAATGCTAAAGAGAAGAACTATATTAAGTATAACATTATGTTGACTATAATTCAAAGCATCAAAACATTTGAAGCTAGAAGTCTTTCTTAGATAATTATACATGAACCATGAAAGTAACTCACGGAAAAGAGCCCAAACTAAACAAACATGGTTAAAAGTGGAGTCTTTATCTTTTCCTTAAACTAAGTAATCTTAACAGAATGCAATTTCAATCACATATATAAAGAAGAAAACGATAATTTAACTAATTTTTAACAGATTTACATGATGATAACACTAATAATCATTCATCTTGAAACAAAATCAGATTTAATATGTTCCATCAACCAAACCGGGATCAAATCCTTCTTATTATCATCAAGAATCTGCAATATAAGAATTTAAAAGTTACCTGATTTGTGGAATAATAAAATACAACAGTGCAACAACAAAAAACTCAGCAGCAAATACAGTAGAAACAGCAGCAACTCAAGTGTTAAGACAACCCAGAAAACTCAACAAGATGCTTGAAACTGGTAGCTATCAACTTCACAAATTGCCTAAGGGATCTTTTTATTTTTCTCAAGGTTTTTGCACTCAAATAATCCTCACAAAACTCTAAAATTTCAGCTTGTTATATGTATTAAGCTGCTGATTTTTCTCAAAGATATATGTCTTTAAGCAACTCTCCAAGATGTGCCTCAGTATAAGATAGAGTGTCCCCCTTTTCAGTGAGTAGGCCTCTGCATTCTAAGTGTAAGAGAGTCCCTTTTATAGGAGAAAAGTAGCCCTTTCAATAGGCAAATAAAGTTAGATTTTTTGGACAGATTTTGGTTCACCAAAAAT